AGGAATGAAAGCAAACACAATAAGTATTAAATTTAGAGCTCATATGATCTAAAATACTGACGTTATTAAATGTAAAGTTATTATACATAAAATAAATAGTATAAAATAAAATAATATAAGAAAAAAGTAAAAATTTAAAAGCTAGTTATTTTAAGAAAAATCTAAGTGTAACTTATGAAAGTAAAAAATGCAGTTGGAGAAATTAAAATCTCTGTCTTCAACAACAAAGTCAAGTTAGGTAAATAAACAAGAATGAACAAAAAAGTGGATTGCAAAAATTATTTAAGTGCCATGCCAGTAGACAAAGAGATGGCACCATGAAAGAGACATGAGAGATAACATTATTTATTCAGAGTTCTAGAAAAAGAGAATAGTGACATCACAACAGTATCTGCAGAAGTAATAGATGAAAATTTTCCAGATCTAATTAAACAGCAGAATCTCTACAATCCTAGGCATAGGGAAAAAAGTTTGCAACAAGCAGGGTTATATAATGCAGAGATAATAAAAAGTGTGGAGAGACAGTCTCGATACTGATAATGGAACACTGAACACACCAACATCTGCATGAGATGCCAATTAGGTCTGAAAACCCCAAATGACTGTGAGCTGGCTGAAGAGGTTAAGATGCTGTATGAACACAAACACAGAACCGACATTTTTAGAATTTATAGGAAAACTTCTGTATTTGGATATATATAGTACTTTACAATTATTTGAGATTACCACCAATAAAAGATAACAAGAAGCTGTCACCAATAGGAGGAGGCATATTTTGGCACCAATTAAAGATAAAATTTCCAGAAGTAGATAAATTTAGTATGACATTAAAAGGATTTCTGAGTGAATAAAGTGAAGTAAAACAGAATCAAAGAATCCCCTTCCTCAATATCTAGTGAAATGAATAACATAGCAAAACAAATAGATACAAGCAGGCAAAGAAAGGGACATGTTTTATGCATGTCAAAAATTTAAGAGAAAAGAGAACTTAAAATGAAGGCTTATATGATATTGGAGGTCTGGATTTCTTTTTAATTAAACATTTCTGGTTTAATTTAATCCCATCTTTTGAGAGATAGGGAGACATAATGATTATGGAATGATCAATTATTAAAAGTACCTATTCAAAACTATTCAAAGTCTTAGAAGCATTCCTGAAGAAATGTCAAATTAAAAAATGACTCACTGATACCCTAATATGGAAATGTACTAAACCTGTAAGTAGTTATAGAAGGGGAAATGGTGGGAAAATTCATTGACAGGAAGAGTCCCAATCAACATCAAAAATGTTCAACAATTAGTCTTGCTGCTTTCCAGGAATAGCAGCAGGATGAAAATAAAGAAACAGGGGCCTCCCCTGTGGTGCAGGTGGTTGAGCGCAGCGCTGTGAAGCTGGCTGCAGCCCCTGCAGCGCGGGTTTGATCCCGGGCCAGCCGGCTAGAATCCCACATAGCATAGCAGACCTCTCCTGTCCTGCCTGCTGCTCCCCTCAGCAGTGTATTTCATCAGTCTGCCTGTTCTGTTCCCCACTCTGCCTCTGGTGAATCCTCTGACTCTCCCGCGCATCTGGCCTGTATCCCGGTTCTTGTATACATAAATAAATAAATCTTTAAAGAAAATTTAAAAAAAAAAGAAACATAACACAGCTAGAGGATTGAATTGCATGCCTACATGGAGTTGGCCTCGGTCTATGATATTTCATGGGTCTCAGGAAAGGAATCAATCTAGCATCCACCAAAGAATATAAACCCCTCTCTTTTCTCTATCCTCTCATCCGGAGACTACAGATAAGTAGATAAATAATATTATGCAGTTCTCAAACTATGGCACCCTTAGAGAAGATGGAATGAAGAGAAAATTATGTGAAAGGATGACTAGAGAAATTGACTTACAATCTTTCAGTTTAAATCAAAGTTCTGGGTAGAATAGTCTACATCAGCCAAAAGCAGTATAAAAATAATGGTGATAATGGTTATATAATCATTGTCTAGAAAAGCAGAAGAAAAAGAAAGGAAACTTGAATGAAAGTGTCAGTCAGGCAGATTTAAAAAAAATCTAGTTTGGCAATAAAGCAAATCTCAGTAAGTGATACATATGTAGAGGATAACTAGTAGAACACAATTACAGTTTTAAAAGATAGTTTCAACAACAGATGACAAAATAGAATTATATGAAATTCGAAATTACAAAATAAAGATAAAAATTAAAAACTCAAATCAGAATATTAAATTAAATCTAGAACTCATCTTACAACTAGAGGGAATTATAGTTGAAAAACAGAATATTAGGGTGATAAATCATGAAAAATAACGACACAAGCAACAAAAATCAGAAGTTGAGAAGCAATCAAATAGGAGCATTTGTGATAACATTGATATTAATTATTATTAACTAGGCATATTAATATATATAAGGTATGATCTTCTTACCGCTCTTATGATGTTATCTCAATTAATCCTAAAACAACTTTTTAATGTCAATGTCTTAATTTCATTTTGAAATTGAAAAGATTAAGGAATAACAATATTAAGTAATTTGCCCAAGTAAATGAAGAAACAGAAATTTAAATCCCATCATCTTGTCAGTTTTCCTTACTATCTACCTGTCAGTATAACGACCTCTGACCTCAGTTTAATAATCACTCTGAATTACTATTGATGATGTAGGTTTTTTTTTTTAATAGAGGCATGTTTTTTTTAATTTTTTTTAAATTTATTTGTTTTGTTTATACATGCACTGGGTACAGTCAGAAGCGCGGGAGGGTGAGTGAATTCACCAGAGCCAGAGCAGGGAGCAGAGCAGGCAGAAGGACCGAGGTACACTGCTGAGGGGAGCAGCGGGCGCCAGGAGAGGTCTGCGCGCCATGTGGGACCCTCCTCTGGTGGCCGGGGAGCAGCCGGGGATCGAACCAGCGCCGCAGAGGCTGCAGGCAGCTTCGCAACCCAGCGCTCAACCGCTGCACCACCGGGGAGGCCCCTGATGATGTAGTTTTGATCTACTTTTGTCTTTACTCATTATTTACATTATTTGCTTCAAAATAAGCCATAGGTCTTTTTTCCTTTTTTTTTTTTTTTTTTTTTAATGACAACAATAAAGGCATTACTTTAAAACGACCTGTCTTTACTAGACAGGAGATGATTCGAACTTAATGATATTTCAACTGAATCCTTAGGTCAATATGACACACTAACAGTCAAGAAATCTTACATGAATTATGTCAGGGTAGACAGTATAAAGCTGTTGAAGGTTTTTCAGGCTAAATAACCTTATTATAATTACATTATAATTCCATATTTCAGAGGGCATAAAGTGGTGGTGGATTATCTAATGATTATTTATGGACTCTGCTTTTCAAGACTAAATTGATATGGTGCATGACCAATTGAAGATTTCATTGTCTTCTGATTCAGTATTCCCATAAAATCTTAGTCTCTATCAACTAAATCGAAGAGTATTATAATGTACTATTTGCTTGAATTTAGTTAAATGTGGTTTTATTTATTTTAAGTAAGCAGGTAACTGTTTCATTGCAGTAGTGCTTGAATATATGAATACACAATGTATTCCCCAATTTTCCATTTTGAACATAATTTAGAAATGAAGGACTCTGCAAAATATGATTATTCTTCAGCTCAATTGTCTTTTTATCAATTTTTAATAGAGTGATCAGAAGACACAAATATGCTGAACAAACAAAATCATGGATTGAAGAACATAATGGGATTTTTGTTATGAAAAACAAAAATCAGAGTATCTTAATATTAAAGGAAATAAAATTTATATATAATATTTTTAGTAGAAAACTATAGTGAAATAAACCTTGATGACACCCACCAATTTTTAAATGCAGTCATTTTTAATCTTTCATTTCCTCTCCAAGTATCTACTTGCATGAACAATCATAACGTTCAATCTCCTAGGGCAAAAAACTTTCATGGGATTTTCCTTAACTGCCTCCCTATATTTAATGAGTGATTAGAGTTCCAAGCTTGAAGTTCAACATGTTTAAATTTGAAACCAAAAACAGGGGTGAATATGAAGATGAGAAATATTTTCAAAACTGCATCATAGTTGTAATAACATGGACTAAAAAATGATTTGTTTTGTATTGATTTGTTTTGCACTTTGTTTTTGAAAGTGTGGTAAAAGGTAAATAGGGCATGAGAGGAGTCAGAAGATCTGATTCATGTACACCTTTATTTATAGAACTTAATTTCCTAAACATGTTAAGGAAAATGTTTCTTAGGCTACAGTGCTCTTCTATATCTTCATATTATTTAGTTTTTGTTCTCTTTCCAATTTATACATAAAAAGAAAAATATTATAGCTTAAAACAGCAACTTCATTTAAAAATATACAAGTAGGAATTATTATATAATAAGTGCCTGAAGGAAATATCCAGGTATTTAGGATTGACAAGCATTTAGGATTGACAAAGGATTTAAATGAAAATAATTTTTAAAGTAATTGTTTCCACATTGTTTAATACTGTTGCTTTTATTAAATATGTTGACTTGTAATGATTAAGTTCATTTAAGAAAAACACTGCAGAATTTGGATTTGGAAAACTAAACTTAAAGAACTGGAATTAAAAAATGTCATATAGACCCAAGAATTTTAAAGCAAACAAACTCCCACCTTTGTAATCAAGATTAACTCTAATGTAGGGCACATACCTACAGATTGCAAACTCTCTCTGGGGTCCTTTTAGATCAGTGATAGCTGATTTAGTGTCATTTTTTCCTGTTCTGTTGGTTCTGTTGGGACTCAGGTACAAGCAATATAAACTCTGTTGTCAACCTGTAACCTTTTGGTGATGAAGAAAGATTACACTCTTTTCTCGCGAGGGCCAGATAATGTAAGGTTTGCCTTGAAAAACCTCTTGCAGCGATGTCCAATTGTCCTAAAATTGATAATTGGAGATGATAGGTATTTCTAAAAATAATGTGCAAGCATTTATAAGAAACCATAAGCAACAGTTTTAAAACCTATTTATTTCAGTTTCAAAGAGTCTATAGTTGGAATATCATTAATGTCTGCCATTATTTTCATCTTTAATGTCTATTTTCTATAAACAGCATTTGTTCCCTACAAATCTTGGATTTTCTCGGGTTTTTATTCAATTTCAAGAAAGTTGCATAATATATGACTTTACTACAAATAAAAGTTTTGATGTATTTCCCCAGAAGCCCAAGTTAAAGTGTTTGCATTAGCATTACATAGCTTTCTCTATTAATCCCCTACACATTTCATCCTCACTTTAACTATTACTGTTAAAACTTTCTAGTGTTTATTCTGAACATTTCTCTAGTAGTAGTCTATAGTCAAAAAAATTGGATATTTTTAAAACATTTAAAGTATTAACAATAACTAATTTTTTTGCCAGAATTTATTGATGAACATAAATCAGAATTTAAAACAGAACATAAAACAGACTTTATTGCTGAACATAAATCAGACCAGCATGGTCAAAGGAGGCAGTGTCTCAAAAATTTCAAGAATGCAGAGCTCGCCACTTGTCCAGGGGGCCACGATTAGGGACATATTTAACTCCACAACCATCAGGAATCAGGCGCTTCTTAGTCACTTTGTCTTCAAATTCATCAGCATTAAACTTGGTAAAGCCCCACTTCTTGGAGATGTGGATCTTCTGGCGGCCTGGAAACTTGAACTTGGCTCTGCGTAGGGCTTCAATCACATGCTCCTTGTTCTGAAGCTTCGTGCGGATGGACATGATGACCTGCCCGATGTGAACTCTCGCCACCGTCCCCTGCGGCTTCCCAAAGGCACCTCGCATCCCGGTCTGCAGCCTGTCAGCCCCAGCACAGGACAGCATCTTGTTGATGCGGATGACATGAAAGGGATGGAGCCGCACACGGATGTGAAAACCATCTTTTCCACAGCTTTTCACCATGTACTTGTTGGCACAAATTCTGGCGGCCTCCAGTGCTTCAGAGGAGAGCTGCTCGTATTCATCGGACACCATGTGGCCACACAGGGGGAATTCATCCACTTTTGCCTTCTTCCGGCCCAGGTCAAAGATGCGGATCTTGGCATCAGGGACACCTCTGCAGAAGCGAGACTTGGGATACGGCTTGTTCTTACAATACCGGTAACAGCGGGCTGGACGGCGGCCCATGGTGACACAGGAACCTCGTCCTGGCGTTGAAGAGAAAATGGCGTGCCCTCGCCTACGCGCATGTGCTTTTTATACATTGCCCCTCTTCCCGAGGAGAAACCATAGAGTCACAGGGAAGAGGAGAAGACGCTCCTTCACAACGTTGGGACCATAGAGGCGAAGATGTGCCTCTCTGGCATGTGGGAGGACTTGACACTTGGTGGTGTTGGGGGTGCTGTTGGGGGAGAGGAGCCAATAAAGTGCCCGTGGGCTGCTGGGTAACGAATCAACCCTGTCGATTTTTAACGGTTACTACTGGTCACTTGCTACCATCTGCCTTGGACACTTGGACATAGAACGTTTGACTGAGGTTTTGTGTAAAAAAAAAAATGCATTTTCCTGCAGTATGTGGCCACATTCCCTGGGGTTATGTCATTTCTTGGCATGAACTTTCTGATAAGGCTCAGAAAGAAATGAGGAGTGGAGTCAGGCGTGGAGAGAACATATCTGATGATACTGCTTGATAATTGCTTTAGAATCAAGAAGCTTTTGTTTTATTTATTTGACCATATGGAGTGATTTTATTACCAAAACTGGCATCCACAAAATTGAAATACCAACTGAGTTTTTTAACTTAAGGATATTTGCACATTTAAATGTTACAGCTGCTGGAAAATGAACAAGAAACTATTTATGCTTTATTAATCTTTAACACCTTACTGAGGTTTTTTTTTTTTCCCTTCAGATATTAGATTTTGCAAAAATACAGGATCAAAGTGTGTGGAAGGAAGAAAATTTAAGAATAGGAGAATTTGCAAATAATTTATCACCCTACTTGGATTTTTCAAGCTTTTTTGATTATGTTATTTCACAAATCCATTACACAGTAGAACAGTGTCGTTGAATATATGCTGCTAATGCTTTTCCTTTAACAGGGAAAAATATAAATTGTAAAAAAAAACAATTCCTGCCCTTAAAGTATGTGGGGTTTTACAGAATGCCCATATTAAGGTAGACAAATTAAAATTCCGTGGGCTGGAACTTCCCACATAGATTTCTGTTTTCTCCCCCTCCCTTCCTGCTGTTCACCATACAAACCTGAAGCATCAAGCAACATTGTGCTGCCCTGAGCTTACACATTTAGAAGAGCGATTTAGCTGCTGCTCATATAACATCATATTAAAAAGTAAAAAAAAATGCCCCCCAAAGAAAAGCAGAGTGAGCCCTGAGAGTGTGGGATGAGACCCTGATCTAGACTAAGGGAAGGACAGGAAATACTTTCCAGGAAAGAGATTTTCATATAGTACCTTGTGGCACATGAGGTCTGGCATATGCAAAATCCCTGAAACAAGCAATAACATGGGAAATATAAGGAATCAAAGCACGGCTGGTATGTCTATGGGTGAGGGGGGTCAGTGCCATAATGCCAATCCAGTGTGTATGTGTGTGCTGGGGGAAATGACAGGGGGCAGGCAAAGGGATCCTATTTTAGCAAGATAGGGATCCTGCTTTTTTATTTGAGGCCATTAAACATCTTTATACAGACATCCTTCTTGTTATATATGGTGCCGTCAGTAGGTTGGAAGGGGCCACTGAATGGATTCAAGTAGGCCAAGAAGGAAGATTTTGCAATAATTAAGAAAAGAAGCTTTGTTTCAGGCAAATTGAACATGAATTTAATATCCTTTACTTTCATCATTCATAATGAATGAGACCTGGTTGAAACAAAATATAAATATCTATATCCAGTCTTGTTGGGACTGAAGCCCAGCAGATACAATTCAAGAAGCCTTTGAACTAGATGGTTGTTTGGTAACCTCTGTAAATTCTCCATCAATTTTAACCACCAATGGGATGTTAATGTCCATGAAGATGAGGAGAAATGCATACAATTGGCTTCTATGAGCCATTGTTATTCATCTTTAGCATGGTTCTGTTAGGCTATTCATACCCAGGGAAAATAGAGAACACACAGTTGGCTAAAGCTAATATATATAACATGAAATAATAAATTTTGTGATTGGCAGGCAAAGAGAGAGGTTATTTTTTAGATAGCCTTAGAAAGCAGGTAGATATACTTGTTTAGTTTCCATGATTTAGTGTCTACTGTGAATAAGTCTTTTTCCTTTATGGTTTCTCCTACCCATTCTACAACCCCTGTGTAAGAGGTCTGCACTATTCTGCAGTTATTGATTAGCTATGCATCAAAGTAGACTTTAAGTTATTGAAATTAGTATTTTACAATTTAGAAATACAAATTCCTGATATCTTCTGCCTGCGTGCAATGCTAAAAAAAGAACAATTTTGTCTGTCAATTCAGTGCAACACTTCCTCCCCTTCTTTGATATCTCATTTCACAAAGATAAAAACCTGTCTTCTCAAAGAATATGCAGGGAGTTTAATATATTAACTAACATATGCCCTAGATGCCTTCTGCTGCTGCTTAAACCATGCACATTATTGATCAGTCTGTCATTTTGTAGCTTTTTGTAGTCATTCCGGTGTTAGACAATATACTATGATTCAGAGATCATATTCCTACTTGGATTCTCAATGAGGTGTGAAGCCTTCACTGGTGATGAGCCGTCATTTTCATTTGATTCTTAGTAACCACACAGGAAGCTGTAATCTCAATATTTTTGAGAGCATAGACGAGCATCTTGACTACCTTTTCCTTGAGTTGAGTAGTGAATGTAAAAGAAGCCAATTTTACCTATTGTCATGGCTAATGGGTGGTCATGCTGCCTGTCTTTTATGCATCTGACTCATAATGGTTCCCTTATCTTTTTGACAAATATACTATTTTTTTGAATAGAAATAGAGTCAGATAATTCTAACTATTTAGTTTCTGGGCATAATGAATTTTCTTCTTTAAATAAAATATATTTTTATACATTTTCATTATTTTCTCTTTGGGAATCTGGTTTTTGTTTTGAATACAGTAACTAAGTATATATACTTACCTTGCTTTGGTACTATAGGATGTGTCCCCCTAAAATGAATAAATGTTTTACACTGTTCCAGAAAATTGAAGAAAAAAAAAACTTTCAAGGAGAAGTAGCACATAAATATGCTATTAGAATTTGATTGACTTTAGTTTGTAATTCTAGTAACTTGTTTAAGATTCTCATATATACAGAATTTATAAGCCAGTAATCAGTATTACATAGTAAGTAATTGATGTATAGTTTTATAATTATAAATATTTAAATATGCTTCCTCAGAAATAATTTATAATATGGTTGATAACTAATAGAGATGGTATAATAAAACATAATGATAATAAAGATGTGGTACATATATACCATGGAATATTACTCAGCATTCAAAAAAGATAAACACATGCAATTTGCAGCAACATGGATGGCGCTGGAAGGGCTCATGCTCAGCGAAATAAGCCAAAAAGAAAAAGAAAAATACCGGATGGTCTCACTCATAGCAGGAATCTAGAAAACTTAAATAAGGGACCAGGAAAATGAATATAAGAAAGTGAAAATCAAAATCAACAAAAAACTATGAACCAGAGACACTTTTTGGGGGGTGGGGGGCAGGAAGGGAAGGATTGGGGTCAGAATGGGGCTTTTGCAATTGTATGGGGGAATATAAAAATAAAATTTATTATTTAAAAAAAACATAATGATAATAATGCTAAAAATGATTTGAATCAACACAAAGAATCTACATATATATTTAAAAACCATTCTTTTATAAAAGGTTTAATCTAATATAAATATCTGAGACACAGTGGTCAAGGGTTAGGGTGCTGTATTTGAAGCTTGTCTTCTCACATATTGAGAACATGGGCTTTCTCTCATTTAGATGTAACGCCATGTCCTTTTATTTAAGAAGCACAATGATGACAGCAATGTTATTATTCCCCTAGACCCAGGTTGCTTGCCAATAATATGAAGCTTGTGTGGTTTATTAGGTTTACAGACTTGCATGACACAAATAGTAAGATTATTAGTAAGATTATTTAAATATTGATATCATAACACCCAATTGTATTTCAAGTTAAGTGAATCTTGTATGTTTAATAAATGACCACTTTATCTACTGAATCAAGCTTTTTCTTTATGAAAGTCAAAATCAACAATTAGATATAATGGTTTTTTAATTATGAATTGACTCTTCCAACTGATAAATAGAAAACTTTTTTGAAAGCTTTATCTCACCTCTCAAACTTTCTTTTTAAAAGATTTATCCATTTATGCATACAAGAACTGGGGTACAGGCCCAAGATGTGGACGGGAGAGAGGATCCACCTGAGACAGAGTGGGGAACAGAACAAGTAGACTGACTGAAACACACTGCTGAGAGGGGCAGCGGGTGAGACAGGAGAGATCTGCTGTGCCATGCTACCTGGCTGATGGGGGATTGAACTCGTGCTGCAGAGGCTGCAGATTGCTTCACAGTGCAGTGCTCAACCCCTTGTGCCACCAGGGAGGCCCACCTCTCAAACTTTTTAATCCATTTGCATTTTTCTATGATGGCAACTAATACTGAGAACTGGATCAGAGATAAAATGCCCTACTACTCGGTACACCTGTTGAACCACTGTGTTTATTGATTCCTGTATGAAGAATCTTTTCTTGTAAAAGTTTTGGAGAGGTAAAATCTCATGTTTTTCTTTGCCTGTGGATTGTGGTTGCACTGGAGCAAAACTCAGGTGCATCCCAGGTGTAATCCAAAACTAACCCCCACGTACAGAGGGCAAAAGAAAGATGCAGGCTACCCCAGTTTAGTAGGTAGTAGTTTTAATGATAAGGGATTTACTTATGGGACATTATCTTTTTTTTTTAAGATTTATTTATTAATGCATATAAGAGCTGGGGTACAGGCCAGAGGTATGTGTGGGGGTAAGAGAATTCACCAGAGACAGAGTGGGGAACAGAATAGGCAGATTGACCAAAGTACACTGCTGAGGGGAGCAGCGGGCAAGTCAGGAGAGGTCTGCTGCACCATGTGGGTTGCTCCCTGGCTGGCAGGGGGCCGGGGATTGAACTTGTGCTGCAGAGGCTGCAAACACCTTCATAGGTTGCATCTTAATCCCTTGCATCACCAGTGAGGCCCTGGGACATTATCCTGAGTGGCT